TGTTTTATATATCGTCAAAGCATACTACTAGAAATATTTGGGCTGGGCTGGGCTGGTGTCCCCATATTGGTCCTTAAAAAGTTAAAGACTTTAGGCAAAATCAGAAGTGAAATACTGTGGCGGTCTTAATGTTTCCTCAACATGGGCACCAATAGTGGACCTAAGCCAAGTAGTCAATCTAATAGATGGGCCTGGACGTTACCCATGTCGACGTGGCGGGCCCACTGCCTGTCATCTATAGAAGTTAAGTGCACCAACCACCTGCATCTGCATCTGTTGTGCACACAGTGAAATTGACATTCAACTGTACAAGCACAGTTGGAACTTAGTATTTGGCTGGGGAGAAATGCATGTACACGTACAGATGGTGATTAAGCCATTACCCAATATTGGTCCCAGCTACCTGGGTCTTAGAGGGGTGGACTGGATTTGAACCTAACTTTTATTGAATTTTTGCACAAAATAACTACTCTCGGACTTCAATCATTCTATCAAAGAATGGCCCCTTCATAAATGGTTTCAATCCAAAGATTGATTCAAATGGAGTTTATAACTGGATGAATTGGCAATTTACTCATATGTGGCAGACTAGATGGCAAATACATGGCCAAGGCCCTGTCAAGTAGGACTGTTCCTACTTGACAGGTTAATTCATCATAGGGATCATATGGGTTAACGTGTCATACAGGGAGAGCCTGTGGACAGCTTAGGCTGTGCAACCTGGAAGTGGACAGCCAAAAGTTTTGTCAAAAAAATCACCATCAAACACATGCACGGCAGTGACAAGTATGTGAACAGAAGACACACAAGCATAAGAAGGGAGTTCCTCTGGGCTTTGGATGTAAACCGCGACCCCGTGATCAAGGAGACTTGTTTGTCAGTGAGTGAAATCGGATAAGGTTGGTCTTAAACGCTTAACACTGACCATTCAATGTAATAATCTTAAAATAATGAAGCATGCCAGGTGGCAACATGCTGACATGGCAAATTCCATATTACGCAACATCTCAGCTTTCTGAATCCATGGCTGACGTTGAATGGATAAAGATTAGATAATTAATTAGATAAACTGTAATCCATCATCTCTTCTTTTCTCTCTCTATCTCTCTTGCTTTCCTTTCTCTTTTCTCTTTTGCCTTTGGAGTCTTGATGTAAGCGAGCGCACCACTACATGTCTTGAAATCCAATAATGGTGAGGTGAAAACATGTGGAGCAGCTATCAAAAGACACCTTGCTCCCATAAAAAGAGAGAGAGAGAATAACGGTAAGCGTGAAAACTATCACCACATGCAGTTTTGTATTAGTAAATTGTAGTAATAAATAAGGTATTAGTAAAACTATCGGCCGATAAGTATCATTTCGGAACTCTCCGATACGCTCCTACAGAGAGTGTACTGGGTTATAGCAATCATTAAATATCTTACAATACAACACGTTGTTAGTCAGGCATGCCAACTGGTAGGTTGGTAAGGTGTCCTGCTGGTTGTAGTGGAGGCTTGGGATCCAATTCCACTTGCACCAAGATTGGGGGGCGGGATCATTAGTTGGGGGATGGGCCACCCTCATTGTATCGTATTTTGAAAAAAAAAAACATTATTAATCGTCACATTCATTCAAGCATACGTTATAAATATTGGTGATACAAAATACAAGAGATGTTTTCAATATATGGCTGGGTGAGTATGACCAGCAATGTGTTGTGGTCAACATATGAAACTCTTAAATATCTGGCCCTTGATAACATTGTTATCTTTCAAAATGCTTGAAAGAGTAGGCTCTTCAGTCTTCTCATGAATTTCAATTTTTGTCATATTTGGGCATAACAGTGTAAAATGCTAACTCGGACCCCAAGTTGCATCCCTACTATCATTTGTGATGATTTTATCTTTAGAGAAGCCTTTTATAATGTTTGAACCCCAAACAGAAGCAGATTTTAGCTTGGATAAGTTGATACTCGCTTTCGCATTAGCTCTCACTATCAAGTTTTGATCGACAAACTTACTCGACATTCTTCGGCTTCTCCCAAGAGTAAAACAACTAATACTACAGAGCCTCAATTGAATATATGGAAAACTGTTTCCCATTTCTTATAATAGCAGTTAGCAATATAGTGATGACTGATTAGAGACGATCGATCAGGAAGCATGGGTCTAAGGTTTGAAGTCGGGGTACAAAAGTCAGATTTTTCCAATTTGAGAACAAATTTTTTGAGAGGATTTTGAAAAGGAAATTATTTTTCAGGGAGGATTAAGTTAGAAAATCCATTTCAAGAGACATTTCTTGTGCACCGAACTTACACACCCCAAAAAAAGAAAAGTTTTCCACTCAACCAAACAGAGAATTGGTTAATACGACATCATATTTGTTTTACGTGTTAAGCTTGTTACTAGAGACAGAAAATTCTTCATCTTGAAGCATTGTATAGAATTCAATTATATAATGAAGATTGGATTGGATAGGGACAAGGTTTATAATAATAAGGTACACTTCACCAACATGTCAGCCATCCACATTTTTTAATATTTATTATTCCAACAAAGTAAGGTGGTATCATCTTTCTAATTTATATATATAAATTTCTATCTGATTTATTTGCTTTGGGAGTGAACTCGAGATCGAACCTCGCCATCGCCATTTAAAGTTAGGATTAAATCTGGTAATGTGTTGGATAAAGACAATCTCGAATCATTTGGGTCGGGTCAATTTCCAAGTTGGGTTGAGAAAATGCTGGCCATAACTCTAAATATCAGGTTAGAGTTGACCCAACTCACTGATTTTTTATTAAATCAAGATATTTTACCATTAACTGTCCAAACTGTCCAATTTGAATGGTTCAAACAAGGTTCAAAGTATTGATATGTATTATTTCGGGACCTCTCCGATAATGCCTCTACAGTGAGTGTATCGGGGTTCTGACCGGTTTAGGGGGTGGAGGAACCAACCGGCCCTCTGAACCGATCTTGAAAAAATAAAAAAAAAAGTATAAAAAACAGTATCGATATCATCCGATATGCCCCTACCGGCGTATCAGGCATATCAATATTTTGAACCTTGATTCAAACAGATCAACGGTCTGGATCAATATCAGTTCTAAATAGTGGTGTGAAAGATGTGACCCGGTGGTGACCCGTGATTCAATCTGATTCGACCAAAATTCTTTTTGGGTCGAATCGGGTGGTGAGCCGGAATTTTTTTGCAAAGTCTAGTTAGGAGTTAGGAGTAGGACACACTAACACTGACAAAGGAGAAGAGAATAAATTAATATATGCGATTTTTCCTTTTTTAATGCTGAAATTAACGGGTGATTTTTATCCATAAGCTAATCGCAATCAATCTCATATCTGGGCCGTCCAGCTTATGCACAAGGGCCCACAATTATCAAACGTCTACACGCATTGGATTTGCATAATTAGAGTTTTTATCCAAAGAAAATGTCAATTTAATCCAATGGCCAGGATATATGCAGTCTCTTTAGCATGGGATCTATAATTAGTATCCTTTCTTGACTCCCAGCCCTCGTTTTAAAAAACTAAATATTTAAGGCGTTAAAAAGTTTATTTATTTATAAAAATTAAAAAGGTCAAACCTCAATTTTAGGGGTTAAGGAGTTGGATCTTATGAACAGAAACTGGAAGGCGCGGTTCTGCCGGATATCCGAAACGTTCCAGAGGCATCTCCATCACCGAATCTAACGACGGTGTTTTAAACTTTTAATCATTTTGTAGCCTTCTCCTGCAGAGAGGGTGGACCGTGGAGTATAGATCTCTCCTCTCCGCCATCCGTTGACGGTAATCCCCACGACTTATGCCGGTTGAACCGGTCACCCCCTCCAATTCTCCATTATAAGGAAAGCGTGTCTAATTTCCGAAATTACCCCTTTTCAACCTCAATTCCAAAACTGCCCTCATCATTAATATTTTTGGGCAATTATTTGTTATTATTATTAGCTATTAAAAATATCCACACTATTGCACGTTTGCAACAGAAACACACACTCCATGCACTGAAATGGATAATATAAAGCAAACGACAACAACAATAATATTTTGATAGAGCGGCTACCATACTACGATAAATAATACTTCAATCTCATCTCATCATCCGATGCATCAGCCATATCAGATGGTGAGGCTTCCATTTTTTCTTATATTTATTTAACCACTGGAATCGTTGACTAGTCCGAGAGATGCAGATCGGACGAGCCTATCGAAGCTCGATTGGGTGCATGGGCGGCACGTGTTCCCGCGGATCACATTTGATTCCCAGTCACCAGTGTTGCATATACAGTAAAAGAATAATCCGTACAAGTCAGCAGCAGGAGTAGGACCCACTGAGAAAAAAGATGGGTCCCATAGGTTGCAAGTGGCCATGTTATGTCTTAATGGTTGACGCACCCCAATGATCAAATGGAGCCCCTTTTGTCTTATGCAATCAAACAGGTTGCTTTCTGCAACACTTAGCACCAGATCTAGTCCCTCCTGATTTGCCCTTTATTGTTTAAACATGGCACATGGCCGACACTTTTGGTGCTAACTCTTTAGGGTTTTTTAACACACTTTGGGCCTTCTCCCTCCTTCTAGTCCCTAATCCCTATAGAATATAGACAGAGGAAGAGAGAGAGATTACTGTTTGCCTACCGAATAGGTATTAATAAATATTTTATTGTATTTTAGAGAAAGAATATTTGAATGGACTTTTAGGATTTAAGGAGGGGCATTACTGTCAATGTAAATAGGGAGGGGGAGCTGTTCTCATCTTCCTCGGGAATGCAGGACCATTTCCATTCAATTCCCGTAATTTTCTGTAACGACAAATACAACCTGTAATTTGACAAACAAGAAAACTATTCGAAAATACATAAAGAGAGACTGTGGCACACTAGCACCAGCAGTGAGGTTTAAATTTTTTTTTTTCAAAACAATTTTTAATAATTCGAAGTTCCACGAAATTAATTTGTTTTTGTATTTATATGTTTATATTTATCTGTTGATTTGAACCCAAGCCAGGCGCCTTTTAAAGCTATCCTTTCTGTCATTTTGCTTTTTAAGATGATGTCGTTTTTCGCAGAAAATTTGAAGGCATGAGAGAATTGAGAAATACAACGAGAGAAGATGAGGGACAGAGAGGAATAGAGAGAGGAGGGGATAGAGAATGGGAGTATCATGGAGTTTGAGGCTTTGGATTGGTTCTTCTGACGTCTATTATATCTAAAGAGCAAGCTGTAAGATTTGGTTCATATGTTAGATCTATGCTTTTATGTATACAAAGATCTGTTTCTTTCTTTTCTTTTTTTTTTCTTCTTCTGCCTCTTTTTCTTAGTCAGTCTGTCTTCTATTTATGGGTTTCTTTTGAACTGTTCAGAAGTTGATTATGTTTTCATGAAGGAGTTTTAAACGTGCCTACATGTTTCAGTAGCCTCTTCTTTCTTCTTCTATTGTAGGCTTTGCGTATCTTCTACAAAAGATGGCTTTTTTTGGTTTTTCATACTACTGACTCGTATCGCAAAAAAAAATATATATATATATATATATATATATATATATGGTTTAGGATTAACACTTGCTTCAATTTGTCTGAAAAGTTGGTTTTTGTACATGGGTTTCTTCTATCCTTGAAGAATATTTTCTTTCCTTTTCTAAAATCATGCTCTAACCTGACGAGCATGACGTTCAAAATCATTCAGGTGTCGCGAAGTTAGAGTATGATAACAAGTTGTGTTTCCTTAGGTTTCGTTTTGGAAAAAAAAGTGCTTTCTTTATCTTCAAAGCTGATTATGAACTCCATTCTTTTGGTTCTCAAATCTTGTAGTTTGCTCTTCCAAACTATAATTTGTGTTACTGGTTTCTGACTAGTTCTTTTTCTTTTCTTTCTTCGCTTTTTTAGTAAGGGTTCCCCTCCCCCGGGTGCAAGAAAGAAAAAGTTTTCTGGAATTTTATTCTCTCTCTCTCTCTCTCTCTCTGTCGATGGGCGAATTTTATTCTCTTTAATTTTTGAAGAAAGAACTCTTTTTTTGAAGCAGAGTTTTGCTCAAACCGTTTCTTTATAATTTTTTATTTCCAAAGAAAGAAACAAATGCCTGTGTTGGTCGCTGATACCGTTCTGAAACTGTTGATTCTCCCAGCTTTTCTGGGGGATTTCTTTCAGCTTTCATTTTGTAGTTATCTTTCCCCTTGTGGCTAAAATAGCCATAAGTTACCAGGTAGTATTTTTAGGAAGGTTATGGTCCTTTCAACCGAAATTTCCAATGCTCTTTATGGCTTATATTTCAGAATTTGAGAATAATTATATAGATGGTGGAAGCACCGAAGTAGGATGGGTCTTACTTAACTTACCTCCACCTTTTTTTGGTTTTCTAATTGTTATTCTTTTTCATTTTTCTTTGGTTTTATGGACTGGGGTTTATCTTTATGAAGCTTCTGAGCTGAATTGATACTACTTCTAGGTTTCTCAGTGTCAAATTCATTCACATGCTGCTTCTTTTACTAGATCTGTAACTTTTTGTGTGGTAGGTTGAAACAATTGATTTTCTTCTTTTGACATAATTTAGCTACAACCTTTTTTTCTCGGGGTTCTCGTTTTAGAGGTTATAGTTATAGTCCCGGTGTCTCTTGTGTTTCTCTTTAATATAGCACTGACTTGTATGCTTGCTTCTTTTCTCTTTCCTGTTCAAATGTTTGTTTGAAGTGTCTGTTTTGAATTTCCTCTTTGGTCTTCTTGTTTACCTTCTACTTTCTTTTTTTTTTTTGTTTTATATTTGGTTGCAGGGGATAGATGTGAAATGGATTTTTCAGAGTCTACACGAGTTGTCTTCAATAGAATTCAGAAACTAGAACCTGAGAATGTCTCCAAGATTATTGGCTACCTTCTACTGCAGGATCATGGTGACCGGGAGATGATAAGGTTGGCTTTTGGTCCTGATAATTTGATACACTCCTTGATCAGCAAAGCCAAATCTGAGCTTGGATTATCCCCTAAACCAGTTGCCTCAGCTCCAGTTTCACCTGTTTCCATGAATGTGGCACCTGTTACAGATTTACCCCTACAGTTCACCCCATTCTCCCCTGCTTCATCCCGTCCCTTTTCATCCCCGGCAACCTTTCGGGTCCCAACTCCCTATTGGGACCCACAGGTTACAACTGATCAGCAAGCTCTAAATAGTATGGATTTTATCCCTCCGGCTTACTCAGACTCTCTTTCTGATGACTATCGCCTCCACAATCAAGCCCAGTTCTTGGGTTTGGAAGATCAACTTGACCCTGTTAACTCCATTGGCTCAGACTTTTCCAGTAATTACTACTATCCAGATCCTGCATTGGGCAGTCTAAGTGCAAGAACCAGTAGGAGATCTCCAAGTCTGCCTGAATTCCCAGTGAAGGCTTGCCTCTACTTCAACAAGGGTTTCTGTAAGCATGGAAACAACTGTAGGTACTTCCATGGTCAACATGTCGCTGATAATTTCTCCCAGATCTTCAGTGCAAACCCTAATGAACTCACAAATGATGATCATATCTTCTCGCCTGGGTCCCTTGAAAAGCTGGAAGTGGAGCTGACTGAGCTTTTGAGGTCGAGACGAGGGCTCCCTGTCTCGATAGCCTCTCTGCCCATGTTGTATTATGAAAAGTATGGGAGGACACTTCAGGCAGAGGGTTACCTAACAGAGAGCCAGAGACATGGGAAGGCCGGTTTCAGTCTAACAAAACTTCTTGCACGGTTGAAGAATAGCATTCGAGTCATTGACAGGTGTAGTTATGGTCTTTCATGGGATGCTCTCTCTATCTATAGTTGATATAAGCTCTTAACTGTCAGACTTTTATGATTGAGTTACAGACCTCATGGACAGCACTCGGTAGTTTTGGCGGAAGATGCTCCTAGATTCCTTGAATACAGGAGTGAGAGGAGTGACCCAGGTGTCATTGTTGCTGGGTCTCGGCAGATTTATTTGACTTTTCCTGCAGAGAGCACATTTACTGAGGAAGACGTCTCCAATTACTTCAAGTAATTATATATATCTCAATACCATTATTATGTGAAGTTGCAGTCTTTGGATTTTACTATCTAATATTTTGATCCATCTCATGTTGGTTACTTTTGCTCCATAGGAGTTTTGGCCCTGTTCAAGATGTTAGGATTCCTTGCCAACAGAAAAGGATGTTTGGGTTTGTAACTTTTGTCTACCCAGAGACTGTGAAGACGATTTTGGCAAAGGGCAATCCCCATTTTGTCTGTGGGGCTCGTGTTCTGGTGAAACCCTATAGGGAAAAGTCAAGAATTATTGATAGGTAAAGTTACTGGCTTATTTAAATGGGAATTGGCCATTTTAGGGAAATTCACCTTGGTTTTTGTTAAATGGCTTAGGCGCTGATAATGGTCATGTTTTCTGAGATTCCTGGTAGTTTGCATATTTCTCAACCATCAATATCAAGTTGTTCCGCACATGGGAAATGCACATATAAAAGAGCATGGTTTACTTGCTATAGTTGTTTCAATTTTACTGTTGATAATTTAAAACAGATAGTCCATAATTTGAAGATTTGGATTATGATTTTTACACGAGTAAAAAGTAACATTTGTGGTCAGAATTGTCTGAATGAATTTAAACATTGGATGAATCTTAAATCTTAGTTATTTTTGAGCATTTTATGTTGGATGAGGATGATCAAGTGTTTTGTAGCATTAATTATCTTTTCATGCTTTCACGGCTTGACAACTTAAAAACTTATTTTGAGAGTTCTCTTTTCATTGCAGGAAGTATACAGAGAAGATTGAAATCCCGATTTACTGTCCTTCTCACTTCCTGGAAATGGATCCTGAGCTTCACTCAAGTAAGTTCACATATGGTTATATTGTTGGTAATATTCTATGTATAGCTGAAATTCAAGTCCTGGGCTCAAAGTTGTTAGTATTTTGGATACTTGGGATATTCCAATTGGGTTTTCTTTTCTTAGTATTAGTAAATTATGAAACCAATTCTATTGTGGACACATCTATCTTCCAACTCAACTCAGAAAGTCTTAATGCTAACTATTTGGGGTTGGCTAGAAGAATATGTGCCAGTCATATCTGATATATATCTTTTTCCCAGTGCCCAGACTCTGCGATAACTCCCGAATGCTCAGAAAGCAGATGATTGATGAGCATGAACAGGCTCTTGAACTTGAGAGAGGGAGACTGTCTGAATTGCAGTTAGTGCCTAAAGCATTGTCCCACCAGCCTTATTTTGGTTTCATGGATGACTTGAAGCTCTCAGAAGGTCCATCTTTGTTCCTGTAGAAAATAATTAAAATTTTTTGTAGCTGCTTTTGAGTTTTTCTCATATTATTTCTCTTCCTGATTTTTCTTTCTTCTTCTACACTAAAGTTCGTGCAGATCACAAAGAGTTTGCATCTACAGACCGTTTTAATTATCTGCTGGATGTTCTGAACAATGGTTCAACAAGTGATGACAAAACAAGACACGCAAGCACCAATTGTAGTGACCAAGAGAGGTAATGAAGCTCCCTCCCCTCAAAGAAATTTCTAAATGTTGTAGAGAACTTTAGGAATTAATGGGGAATGGTTATTTGCTGTATGGCAACCTAATCTGCCTGGATTTAGTTTAGATTTTCTTTTTTTTTTTCAGTTGGAAATAAAAACTACATTGTAAAGATAAACCTAATGCCTTGGGATCTAGAAACAATGGTAGAAACTAGAAAATATAGAATATAATTATTAATTTTATGCTTCTATATATGTCAAGCATATTGATGTTCCCAAGCACAATTTCTTGCTTGTTTGTTGTGTAGAACAAGATTATAAATAACCAGATTTTCTATTCATAATCAATTTGGATGCTTTTCTGATTCATTTATTTTTTAACAGCCAAGGGATTAATCTCCCGGAGAGTCCATTTGCATCTCCAATAGCAAGCAGCATTTCAACAGTCATATAGATTCAGAAACAGATCAGAATTATAGAGGTAGAGTACTGGACTCCATAGTCTATTGGTTCAATTTGATACAGCAGCTCTTTTTCCCTTTTTTTTCCCAACTCGTTCGAAGGATAGATCAAGCTCCCTGCGAGTTCACACCAAACTGAAGATGGAACATTGAAATCTTCTTCTCCCTGTTACTTGGGGTGGAGGTTCCAAAGAAAGATTGATACAGAAAGCTACATGTAACAAGTTTCTACACTTTTTTATTTAATCACAGAAAGCAAGCAAGAGATATGGATCTTAGAAGAGAATGTAAAATATAGTCTGCGTTAGTGGAAGAGATAAACTACAAACATATGCAGGGTTCAGAGAAAAAAAGGTGTAGAATCTCTGCAATACTGAGAAACAGATGGAAATAATTTTACTTTAAACAAATAGTAGCAGCAGCTTTATACCACAAGCAATTCCAAGTTGAGTTTTTTAATTGCATTTTCACCAAGCAACAGATTGCCTCGGTCGCCTTGGATCAATACTGTTTGACCTGAAGGAAGCGTCTGATCCAAGTCACATAACTTTTGTGCATGCAGCAGATGTTGTTCGATTTAGCAAGATTCGAGTTCCACATCGTTAATTTGTGAAGATGAATTGGATTGAGGATATGAATCCCAGCTACCCCCCCACCTTTCTTTCATAGTCCATTTAGGTTGGATGACTTTAGGACAATCAATTATCCAGTTGCTTTTTGGTGGGTCACGAAGCTAGGCCAATTTATCACGCTTCCTGCTCCTGCAGTATCATTTGTCTTTTTGATGTTTCGGGCTTCAAAGTCAACAAGGGTGTTAAATCGTAAATCACAGAATAATTGCTGGGTAGATGAACATATTAATTCACTCTGGAGGGAACAAATGGCACCGAAGATTTTATTATGTTTTTAATCTGCCAGAAAAAGAAAAATGATTTTCATTTAGACGAGGATGATTGCGACTAAAGGACAGACCTATGGCTATGGCTATGGCTATGACTATGACGTTACTTTTCTTTCTCCCGCGGTTTCATTTTCCTTTTAGTTTGAATTTGACTCGTTGTTTTCCTTTTCGGTTTAACCCTGAATGGGTTTTTTTTTTTTGAGCTTGTTAACAGACTAACAGTAATACTCGAGCACATCTTGGGAGTTTGAAGATGGGTTTGTCTGTTGATCTCCCTCTCTCTTTTTATTTGTTTTTATGGTATTACTTACATTACATCTCTGTCGTTTCATGGAGAGATGTGCATGTGGATGGCGAGATTGGCTGAGCCAATTTTAACTTATCTGACAGAGTCTCCTAATTGACTCGTCTGTACATGGCATCAGGTTAAGAAACATTGAAATCGAACGAGCCTCCATTATCAGTTGAGTTGTGAGTTCTGACCTGCCAACCTGGATCCAGAGAAAGGGTTATAGTTTTTACTCAGCTGGGCATACAGAACCAACCGGCAATAATCTATTAAGGTAGGGACAGGAGGCGTGTGCAGCTGTAGCGTCTCTTCATCAGCCAATATGGCATGACCGTGACAGTGATAAAGCCAAAGCTGAGGATGCATGCATGGTCGTGTTCACATAAGGCCCACTGCTGAGCGTAGCTTTGGCCGATATCGAAAAACCATGGATCAAGAAACTATTTTTCAAATTGAATGAGCCGCAGAATTGCGGAAACAAACAGAAGATTCAAGGTAAAACCACAAAAAAAAAAAAAAAATGCAAGTTGCTGTTGCTAGGTTCAATGTTTCTGTCATAGAAAGACAAAACCTGCCTTATCTATCCATGTTGTCCCATTTCTACCTTGCACCAAATTCACCTAGATGAGTTCCAGCTACAACATTTCTAAAGCCCAAGTGAAATTAACAGACGCTAACGACCAATCTGCTGAGATGATTCTGATGCTCAATCAAGTTAAGCATTTGCCAACTTCTCGACGCAAATACTACTTTTCCAGTGTTTCCAGCGAGAGCGAAAGGATTATATATACCCAGAGGCCTTGAGTTGTTGATAGAATAACTGGGAAGCAGAAAGCTTTACTCGGGGAAAGAAATGAATAAAACAGAGAAGCACAAAACGTAATTGCATTAACCATCAAATATGTAATAGTGTTTGATAAATAAACAAGCATCAAACGCCACAGGGGATGGAGGCATCTGTAAGTCGAAGTGATGGTTAAGAGACTGCACGGTACCAGTGTACCAAGATCCTACGTATTAGAAAATTAGAAATGTTCAGTGAAGTAGTAAGAGAAATTGCAGTTAGCTAAGTTATCTTGTAGAGTCTACGTGAATGCACGTGAGGTATGTTTATTTAATTACGAAAATATCCTTATCAGTCATTTTAATTTTATTGGAGTGCCCTTCGCAGGACCACCAAACCAGTGCCTTTTAAGATAAAACGCTCAACGCTCAGAAACCCGAAATCCTTAACAGAAAAAAGAAAGAAAGAAAAAATAGAGACAGCACAAACAAGCCACAACATGTGACGTAAGTTATGGAATAACTAATAACTGGACCAGTAAAGAAAGACCAAGAACACCCAGAAAAGCAGAAGCACGAAATATATAAAAGAGGCTGAGGAGCTCTTCATAAAATGGGCTGGAGCCATCAATCAGTCTGATTCCAATCAAACAGAACACTAGTGATTGGATTTGCTTGTTCCGACATTAAATAAGGTGTTTTGATCTGAGAGATAGATACAATGAACGCCAAAGCAAAAAACTAGAGGGAAATGGAAATTAATAAGAAGATGGACCACGAATGGCAGCAAGCACATGGGTTTTATGCTTTATCAGTGAGAGTGAGAGCGACCCTTGTCGCGCTGTTTATTTTTTTGTTCACTCATCTGGTCCCAGCATTCCAGCTGAATATTGTTTTCTTGGACTAAAGGAAGCAAACTATGTGTGGCAGATATATAGGTGAGCCAAGTTGGCCTTTCAAAACTTTCAATGGCCGCAGCACAGGTCGTGGTCGAGGACTCGAGGGTGGTGTGGTGTCTAGGCATTGGCAACCACCTCCACAGTCAAGAGTAGTCCAGACCAAAAACTAGTACCTTTTGCTTTCTGATGACATGATAGCCAGGAGAAGGACAACCCCACTTAAGAAATTAGGCTCGAACTTCTGCTTTTTTACTTTCTAATTTACCCAAACAAACCACAACTGGCAACTTGTTGGTAGGTTTCTCTTGTTCACGAGGTGCTTTCAGGGGACCACCTTCCTTAATTAGCCCACCACCACCCAACAAAGGTCAAGGCCCAAATTGCAGTGGCGCTGTTCTCATATCTTCTCTCTTACAATAACTACTAATCCCACAGAATTAGAATTCATTAATAAGGAAAGGAGCTAATTAATAAAAAGCACAGCACAGCCTGAGCCAGAGCCAGAGCCAGAGCCAGATGATGGAGAATTTCCAATAAAGAAATTAAAAGGATTCACCTGACTAGTGAGCAGCCAGGTTGACATGGCTGAACTGAATGCTGACCAGCTAAATCAAGTTGTACTTGTAAAATATTGTATATAGAAACCCTGAATGTCTGAGCTAGATTAAGTGAATTGACAGAGGAAATTACCCATTCAATGCATTGGCTTTTGTGGGCTAATGTAGTCTAGACACTAGACTTTAGAGTCTACAAGAGAATAACAATTGGGTTCCTCCCCCCCACCCACCACCAGAGTCCAGACTCCAGAGTCTTTTCTTTCTTACTTTTATATTTGAAAATTGAAATCCAAATTCCAACCTAACTGCTCATTGGTTGGTGATTTCTCAAGGGACCCCAGACCCAGCACTGAAAGATGACGTGACACCAAACAACTAGAACGTACCAACCATGTGGGGGCATCTGGGTCATACAGAGAATGATTACCTCATTAACAAACAAAACCATGTATATATCACACCAAATATATATAATTACACTTGCTCCAATATACAAATCATAGCCAAACTTTAGTCTTTAGTTTTGTTTATTAAAGATTCACCTGAGGTGGCCAACTGACAACGTAACAGACGATGGGTTTATCTGCTATTTACTCATGTCCCTTTCTTTGTGCCAAGTGTTAGACAAATAATCTTTTGCCATGTGGCAAAACAAAATTGAAACTTGTACTTATATATTTTTGAAAATGATCATGACTTGTTTTGTGGGAAGATTTATAAAATTTAAAGAAAGGCAAGCAGCACATGGTTTTCTATCTTTGTTTATTTTTAAACCCAACCCTTTCTTTGATTTCCTTTTTTTTTTCAATAAGAAGCAACATATATAGTTACGGACAATTCTGGGACTACCGGCCTAGCTACTCACTAACGTTGGCATAAAGCATTGTTTAATGAAGAGCAGTCAGCAAATATCATTATCATACTTGGTTGTCAGTCTCACTTTGTTAAAAGCAAAAAGCATAATCGCCTCCTTGCTTGAGTTCTTCTTGAATCTTGACAATTTTAATCTGTTTTCTTTTTTTTTTTCCACAAAAGAATTTAAGCAAATAATTTGTTAAGTATTTAGAGGAGTTGCAAAAATTGGAGAATAAGTAGGACTTATAAATAAGAGTTGGACATAGTCTTTAATGCAAAAGTTTAAGTGTTTTGCACAAGAGCTGGAGAATAAGTAGGTCAATCCTAGTATACAAGTGTTTTGCAGCTCTTATTTCTGATCTCTTTCTTTTCTTATACACTCGCACCTGCTTCCACATCTTTCATGTAAGTTTTAAGTTCAATTTTAACCAAACATACAGGCCCCCATTTTGGATGGCTTCAGCTTTGGACTTTGATTGAATTGCTCTCAAGAAGCCACTCAAAGAAGCTTTAATGGAGAGTGGCTGGGGGGGCTTAACTTTAAATATAGGCTTGTAGAAAACTATATCTCCTTGAACTTTTTTCACCAATTAAACATTAATTGTTTATAGGTTTTTCGGGTGGATCCCGCCTTGTAAAGTATGAGAAACAATTGATCCTAACAAGGAGCTAGGATTTAAGACAAGCCTTAGTTGAATTGAGATTAATACAAGGTTTTAAAAGGCTAAAGGCGTAGTTGAGGCATAATGGCCCAAAAAGGTGAGGTATAAGCTTCAAGGCATTATAAGGCGTAAGCCTCAAAGTTTAAAAATTGATAAAAATAACATATAATATACCAAGTTAGAATGATAAAAGGTATAAGTATCCATAAAATAAAAGTTTATAAGCAATAAGTTTCAGCATTTAAGCATTAAATAAAATAATAACTAATCAACAAACAACTATAAATATTTTACATTTTATGTTTTAAAATGCAAAATTTTTAAATAATTCAAATAGCCAATTTAAAAGAAAAGAAATATATGAAGAATCATCCATATATTAGATTTATGGTCATTCAATAGCTTAGAAAAAAGAAAACAACTTAGTTATTTTGATTTATGCAAAAAAAAATCAATAAAAAGAGAATAAATACATTAAGAAAAGAAATGAGAAAAATAATAACTTGAGATGTT